ATAAAGCTGTAAATAAAATACTTACCAAAGCATGTTTAGAAAGTGTAAACATATTAGTTTTACTCAGCACAGACATGTAAAAAGAAAATAAATAACTGTACTATAAATTGAGGATAATAAAAATAAGTTAATAATTTCAAAGAAGCTGGATGCCCACTTGTGTCACAATGAGTTGTAATTCATTAAGTCTTCTTATCTTATTATGTGAACAAGGGTGTAGTTTCTGCTGATGGAGTCTCACCCCAGTCTGGGCTCAGACAGGGTGTGACATGGTTGGATGCAAAGGTCAGCCCCCTAAGGGTTTGTGGAAGTGGAATGAAGACTTTGTTGTTGTTGTTTTATTTATATATATATATATATATATATATATATAACTTGAGATTCATTCAGAAAAAAATAAAGAGTTTCACAGTAAGGATGTAAAAACTACACATTTGTATCTATCTCCTTGAATTACAAATGTTGTGAATGCTGAACCAACAGGCTTCAGTGCTAAGGAGTGTGGGTGTGTGAGTGTGTGTTTGGCACATATGTATCTTTTTCTGTACCCAAGATGGCGTTGCTATGGATACAAGAGAGCAGTGTATGAAGAGAGGAAACAGGACAGAAAGGGGGAGGATTGGTTTCCACCCTCCCCCTACATTCATGAGAAATGTACTATACGCACACGTATAACACTTTTTTTTTAAGAGTTTCTATGCAAATAATGAAACAAACTGTCAAGATACCATCTAACGAAGGTAACAGAGTAGACCGTGTTACTATTTATAGTGGAGATGTTTTGTTAATGCAGCGGACACGCCTAAAATGCACTACGGGCTTCTTCCGCTTCTGCAACCCCCTCCCTTTTTCCATCACTTTCTGCTCCTTCTGCCTCTTTGATCACACAGCCTAGCTGAGCTCTGCTTTTTATATCTGTGGTAAAGGTGAAGCACAGAACAAGTGTAGATTTAATAAACGACAGTGATAAAACATTGTTTGTTTTTCTAAATCATACTTTATTCAACATTAAACATTCATTAGACAAGATTATCATATCTACAGGGAAAAAAAAAAAAAAAAAAAAAAAAAAAAAA